GGCTATGTCGCTGGACTCCCACGTAGTCGACCGCAGTTCGAGTCCTGGACCCGGTGGCTTAAACTCACGCCAGGCGCGTGTGAGTGCGTGCCTAAGATCCTGAGAGGAGAATGGAGGAGAAGGGATTGCAGTGTGGCCATCCCCCCGGGGGGTGATTTCTTGCTTTCTTTCTATCCGTCTGGCAAGCGCACGCGCCCTATAGCAAAAACCTCTCCAAAAAAAGAAAAAGAAAGAAAGAAAGAAAGGAAGGAAGACAGACAGACTAAGGATGAGACCAGTAGATGGTGTAATGGTTATATTGCTGGACTCTCACATGGTTGACTGCGATTTGAGTCCAGACCTGGTGGCTTAAAATACATGCTGGGTGCTGGGCACGTGTGTATGTGTGCCCAAAACTCTTGAGAGGAGAATGGAGAAGGAATTGTGGCATGGCCATACCCCCTGGGGGTGATTTCTCTTTCTGTCTGTCTGTCTCTTTCTGGCGAGCATACATGCCCTATAGAAAAACTTTCTCTTAAAAAAATATATTTGGGGGGTGGGGGCAGCAGGTGGCATGGTGATTGGGGCACTGGCCTCCCACATGCCAAACTGCACTTCAAGTCCTGGACCTGGCAGCTTGCTTTCCCTCTCTCTCTATCTCGCTTGCTCTATCCCTCTCTGATAAATGAAATTAAATAATTCTTAAAAACATAAAAAATACTGGGACCAGCAGACAACATAATGGTTTAAGAAATACTGGGACCAGCAGACAACATAATGGTTCTGTTGCTAGACTCCCACATGGCCAACCACAGTCTGAGTACTGGACCTAGAGGCTTGAAGCTCAAACCAGGTGTGTGCACGTGTGTGGCCACGAAGAGAATAGGGGAGAAGGGATTGCAGTGTGACCATCCCCAGGGGATGATTTCTCACTTTCTGTCTCTGTGTCTCTCCCTGTCTCTGCACAGGCACACGTGCCTTCTGGCAAAAATCTCTCTCTTAAAAAAAAAATACTTGGGACCAGCAGTTAGCGTAATGGCTATGTTGCTGGACTCCCATGTAGTCAACCGCGGTTCACGTCCCAGATCCGGTGGCTTAAAACTCACGCCGGGTGCGTGTGCGTGCGTGCCCAAGATCCCAGAGGAGAATGGAGGAGAAGGGATTGCGGCATGACCAATGGGGGGTGATTTCTCGCTTTCTGTCAGTATGTCTCTCTCTGTTCGTCTGGCGAGCGCACGTGCCCTATAGCGAAAAAACCTCTCCAAAAAAAAAGAAAAAAAATACTAAGGACATAGTCCCACAGTAAAGGACAGTGCTTCTGTTGTGAATTCAGCTTTGTGAAGGGCCTGACTGCCTCTTGTTTCTCATAATTGCTGCAGCCAGCCAGGTGTTTTCACAGGCATTTGGGAACTGGCCTTCAGGCTCCCACCGGTACTCCCAGCTCTCCAGGGTGCTCCGTCTTCCTTCCCTCTGCCTGGTCTCAGGGCCTGCTCAGCTAGCCATCTCTGACGGTTAGCCCCTTCATGGATGACTCATGTTATCAGAGAAGTTCTCTGCTAGTTGAACAAAAATCTCTGCAATTCCCAACTCTTGCACCTAATCTGGCCCTAGTGGCTCAGGCAGGACAAACTTCCCCTGTCCTTTCATGGCCCTCCAGAGCCCTGCAGACATGACCTCACTCTGTTAAAACATCTCTAGCTGAAACAGCAGAGTCATCAGGGCTTGAGTACCCTCCCATTCCCCTACCCTCACACCACTGCTACACACACACAGGCTCTATACCCCCCTCCCCCGGGGCTGGCCCCTCTCACTGGGCTCTGGACCCCATCTCACCAGGCGGATGTCATCCTGTGGCCTCAGCAGCTTCACCATGAGGTTTAGGTGCTGCTTCTGCTCCTCCTTCTGGGGACTCTGGGCCTCTTGCCCAAAGTCTGTCTGATCTTCCTGGGGCTGCTCTTCACCTGGAAGCCCCTCCACTGGTTCAGGGCTGGCCTCAGCTGCGTCATCATTGTCCCCTCTGTCCTGCAGTCCCAGGACAGCCCCACGGAGCACTGCAAAGCTCTGCCTGGCAGGGTGGTGGGGAAACTGTTATGGCCCTCATACCCCTCAGGGCAGGGGTCCTCAAAGGTTAGCACACAGAATCCCCGGGAGGGCTAGTGAAACACACATGCACACAGAGTCACCTGGCGAGGTGGCCTGCTTCTCAGCGTCAATAGTGGAGGCCTGAGAATTTGTATTTCTAAACAGCTTCCTGGTGACAAGGCCACCACACTTGAGAACAATCTTAGAGGCTCGGAAGCCCCCTGCCCATCTATTCTTGCTTGTTTGAGGGGAAGGCAGCTGCTGTTTCAGGAGAGAGAGATTCAAGAGTCCTCAGGCTCTGATGTCCCATCCTGCCTTTTAGCTTATGACCACCGGCCCGAGTCAGGGCCAGGGCAGTGAGTGAAAGAGCCCAAGTGACCAGGCAGAAGGTGAAAACCACACCAGCGTGCCCACCAGCCAGGCCCACCAGCTGTGCCCAAGGAGGACACTGCCCCACACATTCAGTAGTGAGCTTGGCTTTGCGTTCTCCAGGGAGCCTTCTGTCACTGGCACCTGGAGTCCAGGATGGCAGGGGTCAAGCATGAGGGCTGGATGGAGGTGTTTGTGTCAGGCAGGAAGGTGCTCACCTTCGCTGGAGCCGGCTTCTCCACTTGACTGCCTGGTCCTGCCAAGAAAGCAGCCCCCAGGGAGAGTGAGAACAGGGAGGACCCTTCTCTTCCGTCTCTCAGGCTGCTGGGGTAAGATAGGGTCTCTGACATCGCCCTTCCATTAGTGGGGATGGGGGCAGAACAGGTGTCAGATGCCAACCCTCCTCCTACCCTAAATCAAGGTGTGGGGAGTGGAGGTGGCGCTGAGGGTGTGGGAAGGGTTAGTCCAGATCTGGGCCTCCCAGACTGGGCTGGCACCCAGGGCTGAGTCTTGGTCTGAGATCCTGGGGGCCTAAAGACCTCCCAACCCCCTCCAGCCTGAGACTTGAGATCCCCCTGCGCACTCCCCTAGGCTTGAGGTGGGGGTGCCGGCGGGCAGGATGTACTCCCCAGGCCCAGCTGGCAGCCAACTGCGTGGGCAGAACCACAGCGAAGCCACTCACCGTGGGCGCCACAGGCGTGGAGTGGCTGGGGGGCGGGGGGGGGGTGCTGGCCGGGGGCGAGCGATTCACTGTGACCAGAGCCATGCGGGCGGGCCGGGGGTACCTGGGCAGGCACCGGGCACAGCCCCCCTTACAGCCCCACGGTCAGTCCCTGCCTAGCAGGACCAGGAAGGAGAGACCGGAGCCACCAGGGCCTGGCACCTCCTCGGGGCGGTCCTTAAAGGGCCAGACACCCGCCCAGCAGGGCCTGCGGAGCCGGCACCGAGCGGCCGCAGCGCCTCCCCTGGCGTCTACTCCGGTTAGGTCTGCCTCGCCCCCGCCCCATCACACTGTGGGCGGGGCTGGAGGCGGGGCGCAGGTGCTGAGTCCCGCCACCCCGGGGAAGGGCCAGGGCCAATGTCCTGACCGCCTGCTGCATTCATTCTAGGACTCGGTCCCTCCTCCCAGGAAGTGCTCCTACCTTGCCCCTGCCCCTCCCTGCTCCGCCCAGTTAGATCACCTGAACTGTTTTGGGCTTCAACTTTTCTGTTACCAGGCAAAGTTGGGTCTTGGGGAGGTAGGGGCTAGGGACGCAGGCCTTAGGATCAGGCAGAGGGTCTGAACTGGGACGTGCGGGGAGACACTCAAACTTTTCTTCGCTGGTTGGCCTTCATGTTCCACTCCCCTGGGAGGATGGCCACACTGCAATCCCTTCTCCTCCATTCTCCTCTTGGGATCTTGGGTACACACGCACATGCACCCGGCATGAGTTTGAGCCACCGGGTCCGGGACTCGAACTGTGGTCAACTACATGGGAGTGCAGCGACATAGCCATTAGCTAACAGCTGGTCCCACTAATTCTCATCTTGGAGGTGAGCGGGGAAGGAGTGAGCCCATTTCACAGCTACAGCAGAGGGAAGTGACTTGCCCAAAGTCACTGATAAAATATTCTGGAATCAGGGCAGGAAACTGGGCTAGGACTGCAGTGTAGGGGTGGGGGTACGGGGGTCTTCTCCACTTTCTGTGATAAGAGCTTCCCCCAACAGTAGCATGGGCTGAGTTCCAAGAAGGTCAGGTTGGGTGGCAGGGGGAACTCAGGTCTCTCGTGGGTGGGGCGGGGCCCAAGTTTATGGAGCACCTGCTCTCCTGCTATGTAAGGGCACGGACATGTGTTGGTTCCTTTCACCCTCTCAACAGTCCTGAGTGCTGAGGGAGCAGTCTCTTCATTTTACAGCTGAAGAAACTGGTTCAGAGAGGCTAAGGGGGCTATGGGCCCAGGTCTAAGGCTGTTGCTCACGTGTCTTTCCTTGGCACCCCACTCCCAGCCTCTCCCCAGCTCCAGCCCATTGAGCAGAGCAAACCTGCTGCTGACAGTCTCTTTATTTTCACCTCCGTCTCCACTGCAAGCCCACCCCCAGGGCTCCAGGCCCCACCTCAGCAGCAGACAGTTTATAAATAAATAAGTTATAAAAGCAAGTGGAGAGAGTGGCCCCGAAAACCCTCCCAGGGGCCGGGTGGTGGCTCAGTGCTCCGTGAGCGAAAGCTGTAGGATCCGCTGTAAGTCTTCCTCTTCCTGCTGCCCCCGCCGCTCCCGCTCCTCTTGCTCCCGTGAAGACAACTCTAGGGCCAGACGAAGCTGCTCTTCAAAGCTCGGGGGAGCTGGGGATGGGGGTGTCCTATGAGGGGATCCTGGACCCCTGGGCTCTGTGGACAGCCGCAGGCTTTCCTGGAGGGCCCTTCCGGCAAAGCAAAGTGTGAGAGGGAGAGCAGTGAGTGCTAAGGCTGGGGGAGGTAGCCAAGGGGCTGGGACGTGGCTTTGAAGGACAAGGACAAAGGGTAGCAGAGAGCAGACTAGGCAGGGCCCTGTCCCCTCACCCAACCTTTGGTGGTGACAGTGCTGCTGAGGGAAGGTGGCTTTGGAGAGGGCATGGGATTTGAGTCCAGTACCCCCACCCCACCAGCTGGGTGCTGGAGGCAAGACTGAACGGAGACAGGGACCCAGGAGGGCCTAGAGGGGCCTCACCGCTCCAGCTGAAGCTGTTCCTCATAGACAGTGGCTTGGGGAGGAGGGTGGGTGCCTGGCCGTGTGTTGGTCAGGGCCTCCCAGACAGTCACCTGCAGTGACCAGAGGCCAGAACTGTCACCTCTGCCTGCGACTGCAGAGGCCAGGGCCCACCGCTACCCATATCCCACCTGCTCTGCCTCCGTGCCCGCCTCCAGCAGGCTCTGCTGGATTGCAAACTGCAGCAGGTCATCGTCCTCATCTCGAAGGGGCTCGCTGCGCTCTGCGCCCAGCACGCTGTACCCCTCAGGCACCTCAAACACAGTGGGGTCCACTTCACATGGGAAAGGGCTCCCTGGACAGGTGGCAGAGGGGCCATGCTCACCCTTAGGGCTCAGTGACCCTCAGCAGCACAGCCTCCCTCTTCCTCCCATTATGGTACCTGAAGCCGCAACTGCGGAGCTGGAGGCCGGCACCCACACCGAGCTCAGGGGCTCATCACAGCCGCACAGGTTGCTGAAGGTGATGCGGGCGTTGAGCACGTGGAAGAGGGGAATCTCTGCAAGAAGACATCCGAGACTGAGCCGCCCCAGTGAGACCACCCTGTGCCTGACTCCCCAGGCCTGTGCCAACCACACACTCCCAGGAGCTGCACTGAGTAAGGGCAGCCCCAAGCTGAGGGCCTCCTGCTGCTCCTCACTCACCAATCTTGACAGGGAAGCCAGGTGGGAGGCGCAGGGTTATGAAGTCTCGCAGCTTGGCAAAGTGAGCGTTGCTGATGGCCATCAGGTCGATGATGGGTGTCACCTGGTCACCCAGGGAGAGCGGGTGCTCCTCGCTCAGCCACAGTGTTGCCTTGAACCTGTCCCACCAACCACGGAACTTGGGTCAAGGAATCTCTGGTGGTCCTTCCACTGAGGCCACAGACCTGGTCACGGGCCTCTTATACTCTTCTACCTTGTCGGGTGCTGTCCTCTCTGCTCAGCTGTCCCTGTGTGCTTTCCTCAGAAGCTCCTGCCCTGGCACTATGGCCCAAGCTTCCCCTGGACTCTGGGCCCAGACAGGCTCATGGTTTTGTGCCTCATCTGGCCTGGAGGAGGAGGCAAGGCCAGGCTGTGGGCTTCTTTCTGGCCCTTGCCTACAAGCCCCATCCTCCTCCCCCCTAGAGCTGGCCAGCACCTCACATTCTGCCACATTTTTGTGTCCAGCACAGCCTTGGGGGCAGAGCTGCTGGGGTTCAAATCCCAGCCCGATCACTAGGTGGCTGCGAGGGTCCAGGTGAGGTTGCCAGGAGCCTGTAAGGCCTATTGTCAGTGCTCTGTCCACTGTTACCACTCACCCCTGCCATCAAATCCTCCTGTGGCAGGTTGGCAAGGGTGACTGTTTTCATTTCACCAAGGAAGAAACTGGGCCACACAGCTGTGGGGGGCAGTAGGGCTGTTGGCCCTTCCCAGACCCTTTCCTTTCTGCCTTGTGCTGGCCCCTGGCAGGTGCTCATTAAATTAAATAGAAAACCACCCATGGGTGGTGCCGCTCATCCATTCATTCATTCATCAAAGTTCTCTGTTCTCTACCCATGCTGGGTACCGAGGACACTAGGTAAGGCAGGCTGGCCGCACCCTCAAGGGGCAGAGTCCAGAGAAGTCAGGAGGGTATACGGGCTGTGTGTGCGACAGGAGCCTGCAAGGCCCCAGCAGGTTCAGGCAGGATCCCACTCCCGAGAAAAGGCTGTCAGTGCCCAGACCTCACCTCTGCACTTTGCTGGACATCTCGATGGGGCGGCCGATGTTTCGGGACTCCAGGCTGAAGCTGGGGTCGAAGTATTCATCGGGGGAAATGGCGGTGGGGTTGGTGGGGCTGGCTGCCTGCTGCACAGGAGCCTGGTGGACCCAGGACCAGACTTAACATTCAGGAGGGACAGACAGATGGCGCCCTACCAGCCCAAGTTTGGCCCCCACACCCCAGCCCTGGCTCACCCCATTGTGGGAGGAGTGCTGCTGCGCCATCCCCAGGAAGGACTGGAACGGAGTCTTCCCCCCTGAAGGAGAAGGGTAGGAGCCCATAGGAGCCCATGAGGGAGCTTGGGGCTACTTCTCTAAGGCTGTGGCCCCCCCCACCCCACCCCCAACCCTGTGGGCCTCCAGTCAGGTGGGAAAAAGGAAGGCAGCCATGAGCAGACCTCCCGACTTCCTATGGACACTCTGGCCCTGGTGCCTGACCTGGGCAACCCCACCACACAGAGTATCTGGGCAGCAGGCAGGCGCACCTGGGTTTACCTTTGCTCCTCGACTTGTCCTGATCAGAGAGGTGCTCCGTGCGTGTGCGTGTCACCAGCTCCACGTTAGTGGCACTGTACACCTGAGGAGCAGGGGACACAGGGAGCTGGGGGCTCCAAGCCTTTTCTCCATACTCAGCCTCACCAGCATGGGACCCAGAGACAGGTCAGATCTCATTCCCCACACAGAAGAGTTGTCAGGGTCTGAACCCAAGGGAGTCACCGGTGAGGAAATGTAGCCCCAAGGTCAAGAGGAAATGCCCCTGATTTGATGTGGGTACCCTGGGTGGGGGGCCCGTGCTGCGGGTAGTCCCTACATCCTCCACAGGGGCTAGCACGTGGGTCCCATTGAGTTATGTGGGGGAGCAGAGTTCCTGGGTCTCATCTCCTACCCCCAGCCCCCCACCACTAGCCTGTCCTGCCTTGGCCTCGTAGCCGCTAACAGTTTCCATCTTCTCAGACCGCCATCCCCAGATACCACATTTGTTCCTGAAATAGACCAAACAGGGGCTCATGAGGACCTGAATGGCCAAGCTATGGCCAGAACTTTCCCTCCCAAATCCCCATAGACTGCCCTGGCTGCCCAGTTCCCAGGGGCCCTTTCTGACTGTGACACATGAAGGGGCCATGAAGAGCTGGGGACATTTGAACAAGGACCAGGGACTAGAAGATACTGAGCAATTCCGTTAACTTTGTTAGGTGTGAAAATGATGTCGGGTCTGAGTTAAAGAACACCGCGACCCGTTAGCAATGTGTGCAGAGGGATATATTGTTGAGATGATGTGACATCTGGACGTGTGTTAAAATACTCTAGGAAATAAAAAAGAACAGAGGTGACGAAGGATAAATTCAGCAAGAGTGGTAAAATGCTTATAAATGTGGAAGCTGGGTGAAGTAAGGACATTAGCTCTTCTTTCCTGTATGTCTGGAATTTTCCAGAATAAGGTTCAAAAATAAATGTAAGCCTGATTCAACAATAACAGTTGAAGATTTCAATACTCCACTTTCAATAATGAACAGAACAAGTAGATAGAAGGTCAATGAAGAAAGAGAAGACACGAACAACACTAAACTAGCATTCCAGACACCTTTACAGCACTCTTCTCGAGGAAGCATGATACACGTTCTTCTCAAGTGCACACAGAAGAGTCTTCAGAGCAGACCATGTGTGAGGTCATATAAGAAACCCAATAAAATAGAAAGAACTCATACAAAGTATGTTTTCCTACCACAATGGAATAAAATTAGAGACCGATAACAGAAAATAATTTTGGAAACTCATGAATATGTGGAAAGTAAACAACAAATTCCTAAACAACCAATGGTTCAAAGAATGAATCAAAAGTAAAATCAGGGGGCCAGCAGGTGGCATGCTGATTGGGATGCTGGATTCTCACATGGCTGACAATGATTCGAGTCCCAGGCCTGGCAGCTTGCTTTCTCACTTTCTCTCACTTTCTCTCTCTCTCTGGTGAGTACATGTGTCCTGTAGCAAATTGAAAAAAAATCATAATAATAAATAAAATGAATTCTTAAAGTAAAATCAGAAAATATTTAGAGATAAATGGAACTGAAGACACACATATCTAAACTCACAAGAGAGAGCTTAGAGGTGGGACTAGCAGTTGGTTAATGGCTATGTCACTGGACTCCCATGTAGTCAACCACAGTTCGAGTCCTGGACCTGGTGGATTAAACTCACGTCAGGCACGTGTACGTGTGTGCCCAAGATCCCGAGAGGAAAACAGAGGAGAAGGGATTGCGGCGTGACCATCCCCCATGGGGGGTGATTTTTTGCTTTCTGTGTCTCTGTCTCTCTATATTTCTGGCAAGTGCATGTGTCCTATAGCAAAACTTTCTCTCTCTCTCTGGTGAGTACATGTGTCCTGTAGCAAATTGAAAAAAAATCATAATAATAAATAAAATGAATTCTTAAAGTAAAATCAGAAAATATTTAGAGATAAATGGAACTGAAGACACACATATCTAAACTCACAAGAGAGAGCTTAGAGGTGGGACTAGCAGTTGGTTAATGGCTATGTCACTGGATTCCCATGTAGTCAACCACAGTTCGAGTCCCGGACCTGGTGGATTAAACTCACGCCAGGCACGTGTGCGTGTGTGCCCAAGATCCCGAGAGGAAAATGGAGGAGGAGGGATTGCGGCGTGACCATCCCCCCTGGGGGGGTGATTTTTTGCTTTCTGTGTCTCTGTCTCTCTATATTTCTGGCAAGTGCATGTGTCCTATAGCAAAAACCTCTAAAAAAATATAAAGCATTAATAAATAAATAAATAAATAAATAAATAAAATAATTTTTAAAAAAGAAAAAAAAATTATGCCAGGCACATATACATATGTGCCCAAAATCCCAACAGGAGACCGGAGGAGAAGGGACAATGGCATGGTCGTCCCCTGGGAGAGTGATTTCTCACTTCCCCTCTCTGTGTCTGGTAAGCACGTGTGCCCTATGACAAAAACCACACACACACACAAAAAGTGTGGAGGGCAGTTCTGTGGCCTAGTGGTTAAGAAAAATAGGTCCCATATGACTGACTGTACAGTTCAAATCCTGGGATTGGGATCAGCAGTTGGCATAATGGCTATGTCGCTGGACTCCCATGTAGTCGACTGCGGTTCGAGTCCCGGACCTGGTGGCTTAAACCCACGCCGGGCGTGTGTGTGTGCACCCAAGATCCCAAGAGGAGAATGGAGGAGAAGAGATTGAGGCATGGCCATCCCCCCCCGGGGGTGATTTCCCACTTCTATGTCTCTCTCTGCCTGTCTGGCAAGCGCACGCGCCGTACAGTGAAAATCTCTCAAAAAAAAAAAAAAAAAAAAAAAAGAATCCTAACAGGATGGGGAAATGGAGGAGAGGTTGAGGCATGATCGTGCCCCTTTAGGGAGTACTTTCCCCCTCTGCCTTTCTCTCTCTGACAAGCACAGGTACTCTATGGCCAAAAAAAAACCAAAAACCAAAAAACAAAAACGTATGTTGCAGGGAGGTGCACAGTGGCACAGAAGTAAAAAAATTTTTAAAAAGATTTCTTTTATTTGTTTATTATTATTATTCAATTTGAGCAGAGAGAGACAGAGAGAGAAGAGTGAGAAAGCAAGCTCCAGGTCTAGGACTTGAACTATGGTCAGCCATGTAGGAATCTGGCACCTTACCCACCAAGCCACCTGCCAGTCCCCCCAGAAGTAAAATTTGATCCTTTGTGAGGCTGACCCACATGGGTAGGTTCTGGCTTTGTGTCTGGAGACCTCCCTTAGTTTGCTGGGCATGCACATGCCCATGATCCAGGGCTGGCTGAGGCTGGGAGTGAATAGAGGCATTGGGACCTCAATGAGGCTACTTGTCTCTCAGTCTCTGTCTCTCTCATGGGAGAAGACAACTTTTTAAAAAAGAAGCAGGACCAGAAGATAATGTAATGGTTACATTGCTGGATTCCCACATAGTCAACCACAGTTCAAGTCCTGGCCCTGGCAGCTTAAAACTAATGCTGGGCATGTGCATGCGTGCCCAAGATCCTGAGAGGAGAATGGAGAAGAGACTATAGCATGACCATCCTCTCTGGGGGGTGATTTCTTGATTTCTGTCTCTCCAGCAAGCGCACATACCCTATGGCAAAAATCTCTTTAAAAAAAGAAAAAGAAAAGAAAGAAAGAAACAAGGAAGAGAGATTTCAAATTAATAACCTAACCATCGACCAGATCCAAGATGGCGGCCAGCAGGAAGCTGATGAAGGAGCTTGAAGAAATCCACAAATGTGGAATGAAAAACTTCTAGGGACCAGCAGTTAGGGTAATGGCTACGTCGCTGGACTCCCACGTAATCGACCGCAGTTTGAGTTCTGGACCTGGTAGCTTAAAACTCACGCCAGGCGCATGTGCATGCATGCCCAAGATCCCAAGAGGAGAATGGAGGAGAAGGGATCCTGTTGTGGCCATCCCCCCTGGGGGGTGATTTCTCACTTTATATCTCTCTGTGTCTGTCTTTCTGGCGAGCGCACGCGCCCTATAGCGAAAACCTCTCCAAAAAAACCCCCAAAAAACCCAAAAAACAAAAAACCAAAAAACAAAAAACAAACTTCTATAACATCCAGGTTGATGAAGAGCTAATTTATTGACTTGGCAAGGGCTTATTGTTCCTGACAACCCTCCATATGACAAAGGGGCCTTCGGAATCGAAATCAACTTTCCAGCAGAGTACCCATTCAAACCACCGAAGATCACATGTAAAACAAAGATCTATCACCCGGACATCGATGAAAAGGGGCAGGTCTGTCTGCCAGTAATTAGTGCTAAAAACTGGAAGCCAGCTACCAAAAGCGACCAAGTTATCCAGTCCCTCATAGCACTGGTGAACGACCCCCAGCCCGAGCACCCCCTCCGGGCTGACCTAGCTGAAGAATACTCTAAGGACCGTAAAACATTCTGTAAGAACGCTGAAGAGTTTACAAAGAAATATGGGGAAAAGCGACCTGTGGACTAAAATCTGCCATGATTGATTCCAGCAAGTGTGAGCAGAGACCCCGAGCAGTGCATCAGACACTCCGTAAAGCAGGACTCGGTGGAAAATTGACATGTGCCACCGCCTGGCGTTCGCTTGTGGCAGTTACTAACTTTCTACAGTTTTCTTATCAAAAGTGGTCTAGGTAACCTGTAAAGAAAGGATTAAAAATTTAAGATGTTCTAAAAATAAATAAATAAATAAATAACCTCACCATCCAGGTTATATTAGAAAAAGAAGAGCAAACTAGACCCATACAGCAAGCAGAAAGAAAGAATATTACAGTGAAAATAAATGAAATAGGTCTGCCGAGGTAGCACTCTCCGTAGTATACTGAGTGTAGTGCTGGAAGCCATAAGGGTCACTAGTTTCAGATCCCTGGTCAGCTTAAAAATATGCCAGGCACACATGTGAACGCCCAAGATCCTAACAAGCTGGAGAGCTGGGGAAAGTGGATCATATAACAAGACCCTGTCGAGGGTGACCTCCACATCACAAGAAAAAAACAGTGAATGAAATAGGTATTCGAAAAACAATAGAGAAAAATCAATAAAGCTAAGAGCTCATTCTTTGAAAAGACCAACTGAACTGACAAACCTCTAACTAGATTGGTAAAGAAAAAATAGAGAATTCAAATGACCAGGAATTGAAAGAGGAAGTAGTGCCACCAATCTTATAAAAATAAAAAGGACAATGAAGGAATATGATACAAAGTGGAACTCCAACAAATTTGATAATTTAGAGGAAATGGAAAAATTCTTAGCAAGGGACAAACTACCAAAATTAACTCAAGAAATATTGGGTCATCAGAAAAGTCGTGACGCATTTTTGTATATAAAAACAGTAAAATACGTCATGACTTTTCCAATGACCCAATAGAAAAATGGAATAGATCTATGGCAAGTGAGGGGATTGATTGGTAATTTAAAATAACAAAAAACTATTTACAAAGAATCTCAAGCCCTAATGGCTTTACTA